ATTCTATTGAATAGCTATGCGGGTTTCTTTGATTGCTTGCTTGCTTGCTTGTGTGTGGGTGTGTGTGTGTGTATGCTGTTCACTTGTTTAGTCTGCTTCCTTTGCTAGTTCATTTTTCTTCTTATTCCTCTTCTTCAACTTCCTGCAGCTTAGCATAATCATTTGTGTTAATTTCTTTTCAAGTTTTCAATTTTTTTTAAATATTAATTTGGTAATTTGCTTATATTTAAAAAAAGCTGTTAAAGAAGTTGAGATGTCAGGATGTGATTTAGTGAAGATTCTTAATTTTGTGAGCATCTTGAGCAGAAATACTTCAAATGTTTGGCATGTGATTCCTTCCTGTCAAATGTAAGGTGATGATGCTACACCGACTACCTGGTTTAAAGATTAGGGAGTGAAGTAATAGAGCAATGTTGGCTACTTCACTTATTCGGAAAGTTGCATCAACCCCAACGGACTGATTGCTGATAAAATCTTAGCAAGGATACAAATGATTCATGTGGCATTTCACAACTTCCATCATCCCTGGTGTAGACGTGACTTTCAGTTGTCGATCAAATGATGTGTGTGCTTTAGAGCTGTGAGGTACGGTCATTGAAAGTGGAAGATATGAAAAGGTTAGGTGTCTTTGTCCACAGGTGTTTGTATTGTTTCTCTCTCCTGTGTTAAGTGGTATAATATGGTGAGTAATATTGTGATTAGACGTGGGATTTTAGGTAAGGAGTGGAAGTCGCGACGGATAAGGTTGTGAAGAGAAGTAGATTGAGATGTCTAGAACACATGCTGTGCATACTAAGTCATTACATCCCTTGTCGAGCGATCTTAACTGATAAGCGATTAGGTTGGAAAAGAGTTTGGCATGGTCAAATCAAAACAATGGCATCAGTTAATGTATTCTTTGACAAATTGGTTTGAAAGTGTGTACTGCCTAGTTGGAGTCGTTGGGATGCTAAAAATCGATGTTTTCAGACTATCGACGATATGACTAAAAATTGTTCTCTCATAATTCATTAAATCTTCATCTTTTTCCATGTTACTATCGTTTCTGCTGTACATTTTTGTTCATAACAGTGCGTCGGTGGCACAGCAGTTAGGGCGCTCGCCGATCATGCACATGGTCCGGGATTCGATCCCCGGCCGATGCACCCCTTTACCTCGCTAAGCTAGAAACAATGCTTGTAAAGAGGAAAGGTTGGGCATGGGGCTAGCGACTCCATCCTGTAAAATTAAACACTGCCACAGAAACTTCAAGCCACTAGCTTGAGACCCTATTTTCCACTGGGAACGTGAAGGAAAAAAACAGCGCAGCTCAGTTGGGCTGCTAAAAACGTAGTTTAGAAGACCGAAAAAAGAGATTGACAGAAGAATATTCTTTTCGATAACTTCCTTATCTGGTTCTATACTTATGTATATACATATATATATATATATATGATATTTAAAAAATAAGTGCTACTCACCATATTGATGTGGTTTAACTAATATGCTGCGTGTGGTCACACATACATAGGGAGGACTCATCGTTCTCTGCAAGCAAGGGCTTCAGAGCATATTCCTAAATGGCTCCAGAAGCAAATAGAATCTTCAGAACCCATTAATGGTGAGAACAGGCGACCTAGCTCCTCTATTGCGAAGCATATTATAGAGACAGGACATAAAATTGACGTTAACACATCTTTTAAACCTATCTACCAAACGTGTTTGGGACTCATCCTAAAGTTTGTGGTAGCCCTAGCAATTAGGAAGTTTAAACCACCTTTATATGTTTTAAAACAATTCGTCACCACATTAAACCTTCCTTGGTAAACTTTGTCTGGATACCAGTCAGAGCAGATGTACTATTACCTCTGTTATTTGGTTTAGTGATCTTCATTGTTATTTTGACCTTCAATATGTCTGCTTAACTTGACCTAAATTTATTTTCTCACCTCTTAACTCTTTATTAATTTCATATATATATAATTCCTATGACAAGTCCGTGTGTGATCAGACTGTTCGAAATGTGTTGCGAAAATACAACAGTACACGATTCAGAAAAATTAGGTCGTCTTATTGCTTTGTTTAAAATCATAAAAGGAACTAATTGTTTTCAATATCGAGGTGTTAAGTTCAGTAGAAATTGCAATTCAGTAGTATATGTAAGTGGTAATAATAAAAGAAAAAACAAATGTAATACTAAACTGAATATCAAATAAAAATTAAGCAGGAAATTTCACTCAACAAATAAAAAGTGTTAAAACAACAATAATAATAATTTGGAATAGGCTTAGGGGGTGGGGATGGGTGAAACTGTTAGAATTTTACAGTCAAATAGTAGTAGTAGTCAAGGTAAGGAAAGTGGCTGTACGAATGAATTCCTTCTGGACGACGTTAACGGCTTCAGGTGTATGTGTGTAGAAGACATACTTGTAAGGCGAAAATTTAAGATCATTTGGAATAGGATCGATAACTTTAAATCCCTTGCTAACATCAACATTCCATCTAAAATCGGTAAAGATAGGTTTAGTAAAATGTCTATATAATCGGGCCAAGAGCCTAACTAGTAAGCCGGAAGATTTAAATAATGAAATCAAACAAATGAAGGAAGCATTACTGGTGAGCAACTGCCCACCAGAATTTATTCAAAAATATATGAAATACCATAGAAAAACTGAGATTAGCAATAAAAATGACAAAAATAACATAGAACTCAAAGCCTATGGAGTACTGCTGTATAAAGAAGGGATGTCAAAGGAGAATTCTTAATGACGCCGGAATTAGGTTGGTATTTAAACCAACCAACTCTCTCAGAGATAAACGTTGTCGGCTTAAGAACCAAGTAGATCCAATTAAGAAAAGTAATATAAATATATCAGTGCTGATTGTGAGATCAGTTACATGGGTCAGTCAAACTGGTGGTGGTTGATTGAGGTCAATTAGATGACTGGAATATAAAAATTTAGCTGGACCTAGAGTAATTAACCTTTAATAAGTTAAATAACCTAGAAATAAGCTCAGCCATTGCATTGCATTCATTTGCACGTAATCACAAAATAGGATGCGACAGGGTAAGCGTATTAAGAAGTAATATAGTTGGGTGGAGAGACAGAGAGATTAATCACTGAAGCTTTGTTCATCGACTCAAGACCTCACACGTGCAATCGGAATGACGCAACGCCCATACCGGAGATATGAAAAGTGGCAACAAACACCAAAGGGAAGAGGGAGAGAGAGAAACAGAGTTTATATATATGACAAATTTTGAAACCATGTGACTAAAATTCATATGATTATGAGTGGCAATAATTAATGCTCGAAACCATGTCATCCAGTTGTTAATACTGCATCACTGTGTGGTTGTTAAAATAAACTTATCTAATATGGGAATTACTTTCTAACACAGCGCCTAAGTTCTACACTTACATTACTGTTAACATCAACTTAAGCTTAAACACAGCTATGAATAAACCTTTTCTGTCGCCTTGCTTTTAACTATGCAGGATAATGTTGTTCAGAGATACGATGTGATGAACATGCCTTCATTAAACATTCACTATAACTAGCTCCAAATGATTTGTTATATTAAACTAGCACTTTTATTCTCTGTTATACTGGATCAGTTAGTTTATTAATAGACTTTTTTGCTGGCTACTGAACTCATTCACATATGATAGTTATTGTCATGATGAAACAACCACTTATATAACTAACTGTCAAACAGTTTTATATTATTCTGACAACGTATTTGTAGTGATTCAATTTTCTAGTTTCATTTCTGACAATTATATTCATTCATTGATTCTGTTATCAAATAGTATAATTGCTTGATATTGAGAATTACTGACGTTATTATTATTATTATCATTATCAATGATAATAGTTTGATTGCCAAGAAGAAACTGAAAAGCTTTCACGATCAAATTGTATGTGTGGATGTCTTCGTTTATTGGTTGATTTAGTATTAGTAGGAGGTGGGTAAGAATGGCCAGAAAGAATTAGCAGCAAGAAGCTATGGAAACAAACTAACCGAGAAACTATCGTTCAACAAAATATGTAGGAGAAAGTGGAGATGGACAAGGAACACAATGAGGAGACCGTCGAATGACATGCGTGCCAAGCCCTCCAGTGGAACCTGAATGGGAAGCGACGAGTGGGTTGTCTGTGCGACGGTGACATGGAGGAGATGAGAGATTATTTTAAAACGTGGAGATGTGTTGTTGAAGCCCTATGTTCCACTCAGCATCAAAGGAAACAATAATAATAATAATCATAGGAGGGGGCTAAATTATAGGGAGAAGGCACTACAGTACTGGTCAGGCTACATCACGAATTTGTTGAAGTTTGAGTGAATTCTAAGTCGGTTTTGGATTGTGTAGCTAGAATACTAAAACCATTCAGAATAAATATCCCATGTAAACCAGTGCTGACTCCATTATTCTCCATATAATTATTCTTTCTTCTGTTTATTTCCGTTTATTATAGGTTCTTTGCCTTTTTTATTATTTTTTTTTCGCTCTTTTGTTCATCTTTTTGTTCACCCCTATAAAGTGTCGTAACCTGAACTGTTCCACTTTTATGCAAACGTCCTACGTAAGAAATTCAGTTCATTGCCCTAAAATATGTTATTTTTATGCATTTTTGGCTTACTGTTGGGTTGATGACAATTTCTTCTTTCTAAACATATCTTTCACATGGTTTTTAACTTTGCTGATATTTTTCTTCATTCGTTTCTGTTCTGAGTAGAACACATGGCTCCGAGTTCGAGTTTTGATACTTCAGTAGTGGTAGTGTCTTCTTCTTACAATGTGGGATTTCAAGCCTTATGCCCAACTTTCCCACTTCACAAGACAAACTGCCGACTGAGCGAGGTTATAGGAGTGAGTCGATCGGGAATCGAACCCCAGACCACGTGTGTGGTTGGCGGGCATTCTACCACTGAATCACCGACTCATTAAAGCTTTATGAATACAACTTATATTGATAAATATGTGTTATGTGTTTCTGTGCATCTTTACATGTAGGTAATGACCGACTGGTGGAACAAGAAAAGCTTGATTTATTGAAGAAGGTGTTTTCTCGATTACCAGGTGCTCATTACGAAAGTTTACGGTACTTTATCAATCATATACACAGGTAGGAAAATATATATAGAATCTCATTACCTTTGATATTTATACCTTATATCTAGTTTTGTTTTCGTTCTTGTTTTTATTTAGGTGTTCTTTTGTAATGCATTTTTTGTTGATGACAAACCCTTATTTTGTAGTGTTCCATTACATGTAGTAACTTGTGCTTCATAATAGCTCAACTGCAGCGTAGTATACACAGGCATGGAAAGACTTAGAAAAGGATTATTTGTCGTTATTTATTTAGGATATCCGTTTATTTAATACATGGTTTAGTGGTTTTTTTTAGATAGTATGTGATGATTACGGGGTAATTATAAGCGGTTAACTAGCTGACAAAATTGATGTTGTCAGTTCCCCAGGAGAGATTTCTCATGTACTAGACAGGCTATGAGCCACACTTATCATGTGAAGTTCCAGTTGTCCAGGCTGAAGTAGGTAAAGGGGCATTTGAACCTGGTGACTTTTGGCTAAGGATGTTGGTGGTTCATTAGTAGATTGCTTGGCAATCATACACGTGGTGCGGGTTCCATCCCTGACTGACAAACTTCTAAACGTCCCTTAACTGGTAGTAAAAGGGAAGTTTTGGTGTGTGAGGCTAGCGACCCGTGTGGAACTGGAACTCCTAAGCTCAAGCCTAAAGCCCAGTGTTATAATGGGGACTCAAAGGGATAAAAAACCTGTTGGCTGAAAGTCGAGTGGCTAAAACAAGGAGTTGCATCTTACTCAATCTTATTTGTTTGAAGCGGACTTCGGAATAAGATATTTTCAGAAATATAGTTAAGTCAAGTAGATTCTTTTGTAGAAGTGTATAATATAGATTCGCGAGCAGGTGTGTCTATTATTTTTATCAAATGTACTTTATATTTTGTCCATCATATATTTCCATCGCTAGAAGTACTCTAATGTCACAATTTCAATTCTATAACATTTAGTTTATTCTTTGATGTTTCTTTCCTATTTTTGTGAGAAAATTTAAGTGTCGGGATTGATGTTATTCAGTTTCCTGGCTGGTAAAAATACAATGAAATCAACAGCAACAACAAGAAAGTCAAAAATCAAGTTATCTGACATGGCATAATCATATATTAGCACTATGCAAGTATGAGTGGATCTACTCTGCTCCAATCAATATATTAAGATAATATACACCTAGTAATACAGTCTGTACGATTTAAGTAGAAATTTAAGTATTTCATCATCTTCTATGTCATCATCCAAAAGTATATTTAACTAGACCAGAGTACGCGCTACACCTATCTCATGATAACATCTGATATCATTCGAGACTATCTAATCGTCAGTAGATCAGATAGAGATATCGACTTTTATGACTTAATAATTGGAACCAATCAGTGGTTTTCCATAAATACTAAGTAGATATATGACTAGGTAATTTTGATTGAACACTAGTTAGTAACTCGTGTAATGTGTCTAGTCCTTTGTTTGGTGCAGACTGAATTCTATCAGTCAAGTTTGCAATGTGGCCACCATTCTAAGTGGCTCGCCATCACGGTGCACTGTGAATTGTTGATATTAGATGGTTGGAAGCAATCGGCAGGAAGCCTTGGATCTAGGTTTCGTGCTACCTGGCACTCGTCAACAAAGTGTGTCTGCAACCTTGAAGGAACTCATGTTCCTTCTGAGATTCGAACCCGCGTCACTCAGTGCTGTAGTCAGACTTTATTACTGAGCTATTCGGGCTCGCGATTGACCTCTTGGAGGGCTGTATTCGATACTTCTGATTGGACACTATGTAGTCACTTAAATTTATACCTTCATTGCAGTCGCCTATTATAAAACTATACGATCGCCCCCCTCCTACATATCACTTTCGGATGCCCAACTTTTCGTTTCCCCTTGGGGTTCCACTCTAGAACTTGCCGCGTAATTATACTCAACTGTCTCGTCAACGTGTGTGCAATCCAAACTAAATCTTGTTCCTTATGTTGAATAGTGCAGCAGATTTCCAGATTGATTTCAGACGAATAAAATGAAATGGAACTGATGTATTTTTGGGGAGCTTTGCATAACTATGCTTCATTCCCATATTTATTCTTAATAAATTGTCTGTTTACCATGTGTGTATTATTAGAAAGTACAGAATTCATTTCACGGTGTATGTTGATTGTGGGTAATACTTTTTATGAAAAATTCCCACCCAAATAATTATAAAAAAACCAGTTCAGCGAAGAGGCTCTTTTCGGCGAATTCATTTTCTTTTAGCTGTATAATCGCAGTTATATACAGTTTTTTTCATGAAAGAGGATAGTAACAAAAGTAATGAGTTGTCACAAGCATAGTCAGTGCATAAAAGGAGTTGAATAGATGTATTATAGTCATGTAGTAAGGCAAATGATTTAATGAATGAGTTGTAATCAAAATGTACATAGAAATGAAGAAAAATATGTAATTATGTAAGGGTTCTAAAGAAATAAAACATTTAGAAAAACAAACCAACGAAAATCGAGCCATAATAGGAGAAATAGTTGAATAATTTTCCTCTGTATGCATAGCTCCGGTTTTCTATCTGAATGGCTAGATCTTCAGTAATACATATGAGACGAAAGGGTATTGCCTGCCTTTAGCAGATCGGTCTTGCTCTGAAGGACATTTGTTGAGATGGAATGATCAGTGTTGACATGGTATTCGATTATCGCACTCCTTATAGAGAGCCATTACTATTTATCTGCAGCCATACAGGGTAGTGTTCTTGAACCCCTTTAGACAACATACTTACTTTACTTCGGCTATCTCCTACGGGAGGATGAGCCGGCTTCAGGCGCGGCGATCTGATGCAAGGTTTTGCGACAGGGTTATCCAATTCTTGTTCCACAGACGGAGTCCGTAGACTGTTTCTGCCCCAGGCACTCCATATCAGGTAAGAGAGTTCATGAAGTTTCATGGGAATTTGGTACGAGTGATGTCCCCAGAATCGCTCGGCCCTTTGTTTAAGAGTGCAGCTCTAGCCTTTACACAACCAAGTGTGACCTACAAGGCAGTAGGAGTGGAGTAGGGAGTCCACTATCCATTGGCAGCCGGTGACCGGAGTTCGGTTCATACACCTTTTTGAATGGGGCCAGACATCCAGGACATCCAACAAGCCCTTTGTCCATACGTCTGCCGGTGAGCTCCAGTGAGCTTCATACGCCAGTCGTTGGAGGTTTGGAATCAGGGTTTAGCGATCTCCCCTAGACTGTCATCCAATGGGCAGTCAATCCGGTGAAGAGCGCCGGGCATCCGCTTTCGCCCTCTCACTTTGGTGGAAAACACCTCCGCCACGTGAAGGTAGTGAGTAGGACTTCCTCAGGAGAGGCTATGTAGGACGCCCGGTCATATGGGAGCATTTCACGAGGTTGCGTAGGGGTGGCGAACCCGCAGCGCAAGGCACGCACCCCCGACCATCCTGAGGCTTTGGAGGCAACATAGACGTTGAACGACTAATGCACTTGTCACCACAGCAACACGTGAATAAATCTTTCTAGTCGATTCTCTTTCCCCTAGTTGCCAATACTATGTTTTGTTGTACAATATTTCTAGTGTCTCAGCAATGGTAGAATGTTTTGTGAAGTCCATAAGGTTGTAGTATCTGTAACTATTACTTTTAGCATAACTTATCTTCACTTCACTCCATTTGTTTTATTATTTCTTTTTTTAATTTTTTAGGGTAGCTGAAAAGCAAGAAATCAATATGATGACTACTGCTAACTTGGCTATTGTTTTATCTCCAACATTATTAAGTTCATCGTATACAGATCCTATAAGTTGTCTGGCTGGTACACTATTTGAACATGCATTAATTGAATTATTAATAAAACATTGTGCTTATCTGCTACCACCAAGTGGACGATGGTATACAACACCACGGCCGAATGAATTAATTGATGGTGTTATGCATTCACCATCACATCGTCATAGTCAAATTATTACTACTACTACTACTTCTATTAGTAATAATAATAATAGTGGTTCGATGACTAGTATGACACCACCAGCGACAACAACACCAGCAACAGCAACATCAGTTCCAATATCACCGCCTAGTATATCAACTTCATATAAAAAATGGAGTTTTTTACGAAGTCGTTCATCAACAGATACTCGGCCAATGCCAACTTTATCACCGATACCACCATAATGAATGAGTGAATCAATGAGTGATATAGGTGAATAAAACAATTTCAATATCACATCTTCAACTACCTATTCTCATTATTACTTCTTCTGTTTTTATATCAAGGTTTCATTTCTTAACACATTCCATAATAGTCTTGGATACTTTCTCTTAACTTCTTTCTCTTATCTTAATTACCTACAGATACACTTATGCATCTGTGTATATGTATATATACACAATATATGAGTAACTTCCAGGTTTCTTCGCCTTTTTCTTATACTTCTCTGTTTCGCCTTTCTGTTTTTAATCCTGTGAAGGCACTTAATAAGAAGAAAGCTGATAACTGTAAATCTTTTATTACTGTCTTCCGTTATTGTTTAACTTTCTCTGTTACTCCTATTACTTCTTCTACTACTACTTCCTTTTTCGTTTGAATTTTAGAAATTACAACGAAAACATACAAATACAATATATATATACATATATATACATATACTACTTATTTTTGAGTTTACTTAACTCTGAGAATTATTGCTAAACTTATATTGATTATATATATATAGCCTCGTTTCTTCCCTATTCTTCTTGAGAGATGTATTCAGCCTTTTTCTGCTTTCTTCTATTTAAGATTGTATATCATTGAGCAATCATCATAAGAGATTACCGTACCGTCTGACTGTCTTTTTGTGATGAAGATAACTGATTGAGAATCAATATATACATCTCCCACGTTTGTTTGTTTGTTTGTTATATTATCACAATTTGTATGAAAAAGTATAGCAAGGCAAATAAAACAATTTGTACATATGCATATATATAAACATTCAACATATATTTCTGTTTAATTATATGATCTGTTTTTGTTTTATCATCTCTTTATTTCTCCAAAATACAAAAAAGGACGAAACTCTATTGAAGCGCAGATTATTTGTATTATGTCATTCAATTAGTTTGTTTGATTGAATATTGTGTGATGCTAATAGTGGGTGGGGGGGGGCGGGGAATGTTGTCAATAGGAAAATTAGATAGGGCAAATAGGCGTACATCCGTTCCGTCAAGTTGTCCTGTCTGTTTGTGTGTGTGTGTGTGCGTGTGTGTTGTTTTTACAATGGAATGATGATTTATAATTAATTAATATTTATTTAGGAAAATAGGTAGGTATTATTTTATTGTATTCCTTTGCTTTCCCAGTGGAACATTAGGCCTTCAAGCTTGGTCTTTGAAGTTTCGTTTCAGTAGCTGTAATTTTTTGAGTATTTTTACGGGGTAGTAATACTAACTTCACGTCCGACCTCTTCTCTTTACCTAGCTTATTACCGACTTAATGGGGTTTAGGAGCGCATCCGCCGGTAGTTGAACTTGGGACCATGTGAATGGTTGGTAAACATTCTCCCCTTGAACGGTCGATGCAATATTAAAATAGGTATGATTAACAACATTCTTGAATGTATTTGTTCAGTAGTAGTAGTAGCCAGCAGTAGAATGCAGGTCATTGGATCTGGTAGATATGGTTTAGCCTTTATAGTCATCGAGTGAAGTATAACTATAGCAGCCAACCCGATTTACCTTACTATTAACCTTTAGCAATGAAAGTTACATAATTGTTAAAAATATCTTTGTGTTCTCAGGTGAATTCGTATTTTTTTATTCTATTTTTTAATCTATCTTTGATATCCCAATCTTCGGAAAAGACCAGTTATTCTGTCTTCTTCAGCTTCCCTCTCCGATGAATCCATTATTCACTAATCAAATGCTTCTTGGAACTCACCAAATATGCTTTAAACAAAAGGCTTAATTTGATTTCCAAGTTTCGGTTTCTAGGGATTTGATCGGTTTCAGGATTTTATCGTGAACTGAAATCGGTTAGAGGACTATTGCAAAAAACCAACTGGGAGTACTGGACAGTTGTCTCGTCCAAGTTTGGGACAATCCAGCAGTATGCAACCACTGAGATTTGAACCCAGAACCATTAAGCCATTGGGGCCCAATTCAATGTTCCATGATTTGATTATAAACCATACATGAATCTAATCGGTTATCATAGGTCATTTACTAACTTCGCCAGTGATATTTGCTGGGGTTTGAGTCTTAGCGACTGCATCATACATCACTCATCGGGGAATGGCTATTTGCAGTCAGCGCGTTCTGGTTTCTATTGCAACCCTCCACTGAACAAGTGACTTTAAGGTGTTAATAATCCTGATAATATGGAAGCATTTGCACAAGGAATCCCTCCATATACGCAAAATGAGGCTGAATAATCTTATTATTATTATTGTTTCCTTTAATTCCTAGAGGAACATAGGGCTTCAGCCGTGCGTCTCCATTGCGTTCAGTTCTCTGCTAGAGTCTTCACCTGGCTCCAAGTCTGCCCACACGTTTTCATCTCCTCTTCAAATGACCTCCTCCAAGTCACCCTTGCACCGACGACCAACTCGCCGCTTCCCTTTCGGTTTCCACTCAAGGGCTTGTCTAGTGATGTTACTTGATGGTTTCCTAAGAGTATGGCCAATCCATCTCCATTTCTTCCTGCCTATTTGTTTCACAATCGGTTCCTGGTTGGTTCGCTCCCAATAAGAAGTCATAAACATAAATAGAATAGTTGAATATCGGCTCAGTAATCTGCTTCTACTCATTGGCAATATAGAAACGCATAGGTTGGACCGAGATGAAGACACTAGGAGATCTAGTCTTCGTGGATGATTTAGTGTTGCACAAACTCGAAGATCTACAAACGAAAACTAACAAGTTGACAGAAGAAGCAAGCAGCGATGACAGGACTTCAAGTAAAGACAGAGGCGATGATGACGCCAAATCAATAACAACAACCAATCACTATCAACCAAAGAAGTTCAAAGGAGGTCATCACTTCCACTCATTTTGGCAGCATCGTTTCGCCTACAGGTGGTACCGATGAAGACATCGAAGCCATGATTGGAAAGGCAAGTGATTACTCCGAAATCATTGTGGAAATCTACTGTACTAAGCATAATGAACAAGATTCGAATTTTCAACACAAACGTGAAGTTAGTAATTCTATGTGGTTCAGAGATTTGACGTGTGATGAAAAGCAATTTGAGCAGCCAGTTGCAGACTAAAAGAAGCAACCTCTTTTACCTAAATGGGAATTATCATTTCAACTACAGGAGGAACTGTTGAGGATATCAAGGCGAGAATTGAGAAAGCAAGGCAAACTATCATTATTCTCAAGTCTATGTGGAGATCAGCAGCACTCATCATGAGAAATAAGATCCGAATTTTCAACTCCGATGTTAAGTCAGTGCTGCTACATGGATCAAAGACTTGGCTCGTCACGAAGGTAACTTTGAACAAACTATAGACTTTTATCAACAGTTGTCTTCGCTCAAAACGTTGGTGGAGAACCGAACGCATTGGAGGCGTGTGGCTGAAGCTCTTTGTTCCTTTAGGAACTAAAGGAGACGGTGATGATAATAATAATCAACATTTACTTTCACTGGCTTGATTAGATGTCCAGAAAGGATTACCAATGAGGAACTCTGCAATGCTACGAACCAACCAAGGTCCCATTGCCCAGAAAATATACTGAGGAAAATGGAGTTGGACTGGGGTACATGTTCTGTAGGAGACTGTTGACTGACATCTCGCGCCAAGCCATCGCCTAAGTGTAACGCGAATGAGTGTGTATCGGAGGGTGACATGGAGGAGATCGTGTGCAGAGGAAATGGGAGCTTATGGAAAATCATGAAGACAGTTAGCCATAACTGCAGAGAACAGAGTGTAATGAAGACGTGCTGCTGTGAAGTCTTATGCTCCACTCAGAACCCAAGGAAAGAATAATAATATAAAATAGTACACATTGGTTAGTCATGTTAGTTCGTCTTGTTGTCTTTAAAACACATTTGCCTACTTTATCCCAGTAACTGTATTCGTACTTATGTACTTTTGGTTAACATGCATAATAAAACACGTCATAGATGATTCACTGTCATGGAATTATTCTGTTGAATGGAGAATAGTTGTATATTGTTAGGTATTCACTTGGCTACGCTTAATATTAACCTGTTAGGGTGGTGTACAATAAGAAATATAAAACTTCAGTTTTTCAGTTGTGTTCTTTCAGCTAAATAGTTTAATTCTGAAGCTTCCATTATCTTTCTAGACAATATCTGCAATGCTGACTTTAATATGAAGTAAGCTTTTAGATTTCTTCATGAGTGTAGTAACACTGTCTCTCCCGATAACCTTCAATGTGATTGGTTGTTTCCGGAGGCTTTCTTATCCTCTTGTTTATTTGTATGTCCATGCTGACTATTTTGTTGACCTGATATGTGTGACCTTTTGTCTGTGTGATTTCTTTTTCATTATTTGATACATTTGATCTATATCAATGTGTTTGACATTCCTTTGTCTAACATTCATACATTTTCCCAGTCGAATTATAATAATAATAATAATATCCGAAGTTATCTTGTATGCAGTGGTGTGAACGAATGCGTATCGTTGTGGCGTGTGCTACTGATAATAGATTTATCAGTAGTATATATGTAAGAGATGTTCATCTGCATAAAAACGTCATATAGCAGGGAGACAGATTTCATGTCAGAAAAATAAAACGATATAGCGTTGTGGAGATACATAGGAGACGTGAAAGGAATACACAAAAAACAATATGAAGGAAGGCCAGAAGTAGTACAACATGGAAGATCTGTGCAAATGGTGATTTGAAGATAAAGTGTATATCATTTGGCTATATAGAGATACCAAATTGCAAAAAAAACATTCCTTTAACAAGTCTTGTCGTCTTCCACAGTTACAGTTGGTGTTGCTGCCTCCAGACAATGAAGATTCCATGGTGGACTGTTTTCGAGGAAGGAGATATACAGAGCTTCTTGCAGGACTTTGAGGCCGTCGCTGAATTGGTGGGCGTCAAAAATCCGACGGCGAAGCAGCTAAGCTGCAAACGCTGATGAGAAGTCGAACAAAGGCAACTGGCGATGCAGCAGTCCCATGCCGCGAAGCTGGGATCGGACAGACATCCGCTAGTGTTGGCGGTGAAGCTGAAGAATCTACTAAGTCGTGCACTCTCCACATTGGATGAAGAGTCGGAGCTGCAGCTATTGGCATCCCAGTTCATCAACAATGTCCCAGAACACATTTCTCAACGACTAAGACTGATTAACGCTGCACAATCGATGAACATCTCTTATATATACTACTGGTAAATCTTATCAGTAGCACACGCCACACCGTGTCTTTCGACGGTTATAAAACGATCCAAGCTTCGCAGTTAAACAAAACTACACTGAAATCATCCATATGAGCTGTATATCTTCTCTTTTTAATTTTATTTTCTAAACAATCAGTAATGGACAACATTTGATTATACTTCAGATGTCTTCTTCATTAATGTAAGAGTTTAATTCCATGTTAGGTAAGTTTATTCGATGTAACACACAGTGAGTGATACAGTATTAATAACTGGATTACGTTTTCAAGCACAGTTTATTGTTCACGTAATCATATCAAATGTATTCACACGACTTCGTAACGTGTTTTTATATAGCTTTACTCTATGTTGTTTTTTATTCTAATTCTCCGTATATCAGAATCTTTTTAATCTGTAGTATTTGGAGTTGATCTGATGAATAAAGACTCAGTGATTAACCTCTTCTTCTACCTAACTATATTTTTACTACTTTCACCACCTTTTTTTATTCCTTCACGTTCCCAGTGGAACATAGGACTTCAAGCTAGAGGGTTGAAGTTTCGGTAGCAGTGGTGTTTATTTATTACGGGATGGGGTTGCCAGCCTCATGCCCAACCTTCCCTCTTTACCAGCTTTATTACTGGCTTAGCGAGGTAAAGGAGTGCGTCGGCCGGGAATCGAACCCGGACCATGTGTATGGTCGGTGTCCTAACCGCTGTGCCACCGACGC